AATGGTTTCGGTACGGCGGCGGGTGGTAGCGGTCTCCTTCCTGGCGGCTGGGTCTACTTCTCCGGCAAGGGGGTCTGGCGGCTAAGGTTAGGGTTTGGTGTGAATGAGGGTTATTTATATCCATCCACTTTTGATCTGGGCCGTCCATCGCATTTGATCTGGATCGTCCGATCGCGATTAAATAAGAAGTGAGTCTGAGCCGTTCAGCGCGATCCAATCTGGGTCGTCCATCGCGATCTAATATGGACCATTCAATCGCCTGGCCGTCTGATTGCATTTGGGGAGAGAACGCATTTGAGCTGTCCGTGCGCGCGGGAACGGATCTGGGCCTGTCGATCGTGGGCATGCAGATCGCCCGCGTGGCACCGCGTCAGCGTCCACTGCCACGCGGCGTGTCCTGATTCATCGGGCCTGCTGACCGTGCGTCTGACGTGGTGAAACTTCTCTTAATTATATTTTGACCACTAGTTTCTGATTTTTCTTTCAAAAATACTTCCAGAACCTAAATTTTTACCCATTTTCTCCAATTTTTTTTTTCAATTTAATCTCCCATTAATTTTATTTAAATTTTTACTCTAAATAAATAAAAAAAAATTTAAAAATTATTTTATTGTATTTAAAATAAAATCCTAAATTAAAAAAATAAATAAATTTAGGATGTTACATGAACAGTAAGAGATTAGTTAAGCAATTATTTCTTTTTGCTTCGTCAATTTTGAATAGAGGTTAATAATATTTACTTGTTAATCGTTTTTTTTGTTTCAAGTTCCGAAATATTCTCATAGCTTCTATTTGGGCGTTTTAAGTAGACTTGCAAAGAATCTAATCTTCGAACCGTTAGTTCTTCCACTAAATGAAGGAATTCGATATTATTATTATTATTATTATTGGGCTTTTACATAGGAAGTAAATAGTTTACTTTCTAACTAAAATATAATATTTTAAAGTGTTATCATAGAAAAAAAGTATATATTAATTATTTAGCGACATAATTCTCCAAGTGCAATATATGTTAATCAAGGGTTGCATGCACTAACAATGGCTTGGAAAAACGATAGATCCTGGAAGCAATCCAACTCTACTTAGCACTTGGAAAGATATGTTATTCTTTGACTCGATAATAGTGGAGGATAATATGGATATTAATGGGATTCATATGTTAGAAAGTCTTGCACCATTACCCTAAGCAGTGGATGATGAGGAAGAAGATATGACCATTTCTGCCTACTATTCTACTCACGGTTGATGAAAAGCTAATACTCTGAAAGCAATGGAGGCAAAACTTTGATTATCAAACAGTTGGGTAAGAAGATTGGGTCCTGTTACCTCGAACAAGAATTTAGGCAAATACGATCATCTCGAAAGTCATATAATTGATTGATCTAGAGAATAACTTATTCTTGGTGAAGTTGTCAAATGAAAGATACTATGAGTATGCATTAACTGGAGGGGCCCTGGGTTATTCTTGATCTCTAATGGGCAGTATATATGTGGATCCTTAATTTTGTTCTGAACAATTCTTTAATTCACATAATTCTTACATAAATATATTTTTTACGATTGAACATAAAGTAGTATAATAAAGAGTTCATTGACCAAGTTGGAGGATTTACTTTGGAAGGTTGTTGGGGATCGGTACCACAATATTATTGGCTTTTCGTGGGCAGTTTGCATATATTTTTCTTGAATTGGACATAACAAAAGCCTTACTTTCTAAGTTTCAAATTTAGAAGAGAACATTTTATGTTGACACCTACTTTAGTGCACACACTCTACAACATCATGCCTCTGCTACTAAGCATCTCCATATTTTTAGTCTTGCCCTTTATCATATTCAATACTTCAAGATGATGACCTATACATTCTTCTCAACAAAAGCTCTTTTTTCTCTTATTGTATTGCACTTGTTGGTAGTTTAATAAATTCGTGATTGTGGGGAAAGCAGTAGAAGGAAATCTCATATTCGGTAGAGTATGATAAAACAATGCAAGTTTCACTAAAAACAAGTATGATATGAACAAATTTTTTTTTTAAAATCTGCTTCAAGTTCAAAGTCGTTACGAATTAATATATTTTATATATGAGACAAATTTAATTTCAATAAAACTCGTTATAAATTCGGCCTTTATCATCCTATTATGATATTTTCAACTATGTACAACATTTGACAAAAAAAAAAGAAATTAATTGGCAACATGTGCATTGTTTTTACTTGGGGCGTAAACCTTTGACTTTTAGGGAGTTTTCTTTTTACTTTGACCATAAAAGGCATTGGACATGCACGGAGGAGAAAACCACTCCACCAGGTGCTAACTGGCTTGACACTTTGACTTCAAGATTTCTTTATCATCTATCGAATTCTGAACTCTCAACCATGCTTACATTTTGTTCATATTTTTTTTATAACGAATATAACTTTTTATTGTTTTTTTTTTAAATTTTTTTTAAAGTAAAAAAGAACATGTGATTTGTTTATGGTCCATTAGACATATAAGTGTTTAGCAAAAACTTAAAAACTAAATCAAATTACCTAAATTATTTATTAATTTAATCTCCACCCTTTAAATTTTCGTTTGTATTAGGGAAAAAATACCCAAAATTTTTAATTTATTCAGTTTGATTTGACAATTTTAAATTAAATTAAACTAAAATTTAAAATAAATATAATTAACAAATTATGTATAATGTATGTGATAAATCATTAATGGTCCCTCCATTCATATATAGTAAACTATTGAATACTTAAAATAGATGGATATTTAACTTTTTTTAATACTGTACAGCAAAATATATAAATTAAAAAAAAAATTCAAAAAATCATTTTAAAGTTCAAGCCTATAAAAAAATAAATTATTTTAGTTTGATATAATTTTTATGGTTTTAAGTATTTTTGAAACTTCTGGAAATTAAATTTAAGATTTGATCTGCCAGTTTCCGAGTATGATTACACGTGTCTGATTAAAAAATGCCACGTATCGGAACTCGAAAACGTATGCGTTTAGGAAAATCACAGCCGAAGGCATGTCCTGAGTTGTCTCGCCGCCCAAGAATCGTGACATTTGACTCGTGGGGTCCACTCCGCCAACCCCTTCTCTTCTTTCTGCCCATTTTAGCGACTACCTACGTTTCTGCCACACCCCGGAATAGGCCGTAAACCTCACATGCCAACAGGATATAATATATATATATATATATACGTACTATTTTCTAATTTATATATATAATGTAATATTATATTTAATTAATTATATTATAAAATAGTAATAAATTTTAAAATACTAAAAATGTACTTAATAATAAAACGAATAACTACTAAAATTATTTAAATATTCATGATTACTTTTCTACTTCTTTTAAAAATATAAATTATTTTTAAAATATTTTAGATGTAATTATTTGATTTATTTGCGCGATTTAATATTAATTTTAATGATTATTTAATTTTTGAATAAAATTATTGGAATAATTTGTCATAATTATGAAATCAATAGCAATAAATTAATTACGTAATTTTATTTTAAAATTAATAAAATAGTAAAATTTAAAATTAAGTAAATGTACCATTTAAAATATTACCAAATTTATCATTAGGTTATGTTTGAATATCAAAAATAAAAATTGTATGTATATTAATATTACGGATAGATTTATCATTAAAAATATATATATATATATTAGAAATTAAAATAGCAATCAGAAACATACGGGCAATGCTGA